GAACGATTAAATCTAAATGTTTTATACCCCAGCTGGAGTCTGTACAGAGTATCCCTTTAGTTCCTATATATCAGTAGGTGTCACGATATGATGTATTTTCATGGGCGTTTGACAAGGTTCCAATAATCCTTCAGATTAAAGATCTACATTTTTTAATCACATAATAGTGATAAGGATGTAATAACAATCATGCGAGCATCACATCGCTCCTTATCATTACTATTAGATAAGCTATTTTTTAATATACTGTTAAATAAAGCAGTGTGCGACAGGTATTTAGGAGCATTATGTTTATTCAAAATTGTCATCTCTAAGAGAGAGATGTACATTAATTCATTAATCGTGTTATACACTGTATACACAGGTTATACAGTAAAAAGTCTTGAGGAACCACCGTCCATGAGTGACGTACAGTAATCACAGGTGAGACTATCAACCGCTAACAGTTTAATTGTTACTGGTTGATCTTCAAATTTAGAAGACGGGAAGTCTGAAACACTGTTTGTGGCGCAAATTTGACGCTGATTCTTAACCTTTTACTGTTCGTGATCTGAATCCCTGGGGCTGAATAAAGAATTTTGAATTTAAATGAATTGGAAACAAATCGTAAATGTTCAACTTGAGTTTCAATAAGTTTACTCCATCAATACAAAACTTATTTTTTTAAGGCAAAGACATTTAAAAAAACTTAGATATATGTTACTTTTTTTGGGGGGGTGGGTGGGAACATAAAAATATTTTCAAATATGTCCGAGGTCTGCATGTGTGAGACAGCAAGAGTTTCCAATGTGGTTTAACGTGTGTGTTGGGGCATTAATTTGGTACATAGTGCCCCTTAAAAACAATTTCCTGGTTCTTTTTTACGATTCCGAATTTGCTTTGCATAAAATAGGAAAATAACGATCTTGTAATACATGAAGTTAACTAAGTCTAGTATTTTTAAATACTAGAAAGACGGGTCGAATCTTTGAACGTCGCTTGATTTTAAACGGAAACAATGAGAAACTGATTACTTCTTCAGATTTAGAAAATATTGACACATCTACAAAGTATTAAGACGTGCTAGTTAAATATTTTTCAAGAACATGCGACTGTTTGCTAATGTTCGCCTTTTAAGGCTAAACCCGCAACTCTTGTGATTACTGTATGATGCTGGAGACGAACGTAATTTTCCTGTTCACACAAAAGCAGAGAATTTGAGTTGCAAAATCAACTGCCCCCCACCGGGCAAACAAAGAAACAAAATCGCAGACACTTACCCTCGCATCCGGTAACGGAGTGCTTGAATTTCCCAGACGGGATTAGTAGTCGTACATGGTTGCTTGACTACCCGAAAGAGAGGGCGCTAAAATCTCGGGTACGAAAGCAGCCGGGAAGCTGCTCTCATCAGCACAAACCGGCACAAACGCAGCAGTAACGAATCTGACCGGTTCGGTTCTCCTGCGCCGTATTAGGGGGCAGAGTGACGTCACGCCGCCGAAGAAATAAGGCGTTATATCTCCGGGATAAAAGCGGCACAAACGTTACTTTCAACACGACAGAACGGCACAAACGCAGCGCTACCGTGTGCAGTGGGTTTAATCGGTTGTGCCGTTTGTATGGGGGCAGGTTCACGGAGCTAAATTGTTTTCATATTCGGCCAATCTCAGTTCAGCATTTTTTTCTTGTTATGAGAAAATCTGCTCTTTTTTTATAATAAAACTTAAAATTGCATTGGCCGTTTTTAATATATCTTTTTTAAATTCTTTTTGATACCCTGCTTTTCCAAAGCCCAAGGCTGCCAGAACCGCTGTCCCCAGAGGCTGGAAGGAATCCCCTCTTGTCTTCTGAGTTACTGATGCAGCCTCGCATTGTCAAGGGCCAGGAAGTGTGAATGTTATTTGCAGTCTCTCAGTCAGTCCTAAACTTTGTGGAGAGAAGCAGCTGAGCCGTTTTTCCGATAGGCAGGTAGTTTAACTGGATACCCAGTTCCCTTCCTCCTTGGGAACACAAGGGGTCTGTGCCCTGTTAGCATCAGCTCCGTGCTCAAAGTGCTCAAGTTTAATAACCTGTGGTCATTTTCTTCCCTAAAGATGAAGGGCTGATGACTGCTATATCAAATTTGATATGTCTAAAATCATTTGAAATAAGCCTGGTCATTTTGGGTGTGGGAAGTAGCATCAGGGAGGCACAGATCCGAACAAAGTCCTTACTGTGCTGGGGACCGGAAATATTTTTAACCAAAATTCTGGGAAGAGGACACCCGGACTGCTCAAGTGGTTTAGGTTCTTTACCCACTTTTCCCAGGTGGCTTTGTATTCTGCAGCGACGCACTCGAGAACATAAAGGTTACAAGTGAGACGAGGCCAGTGGGCTTGTCAAGCCCAATTTTTAGTTCTCAGTAAATTGACCACAGGATCTCATCCAGCTGTGTCTGGACAGAAGCTTGAGCATCTGTTTCAACAGCAGGGCTGCTGGGCAGCTTGTTCCTGATTCCCACAACCCTGCAGTAAAGAAGTGGCTCCGGGTCTGGGTGCAGAACTGTGCCCTTCGTTGCTGACCACCAGCCTGTTTGATTCCTCTGATCCTTTATGGTTCTGCAGGGCCTGCCTCCCCCCCACTCCTTTTCAGGGCCTGCCCCTTCGCCCGGTGCGGGTTCCAGGCTTCGTGCTGTCTCCGACATCCAGCCACCCTGCCGCTGGCCCTCTGCTTGCTTCGTTCCTGTCCTTCACTCCCACGTCTCATCTCTCCTGCACCCCACATTCTCCAGGGATCGCACACGAGCCAAAGCCCCCTCCTCCTCAGGATGTCCTCGTCCTGACCCCCCCTGACCGGCTCCACTCTGTTTCGGAAGGCGGTTCGTTCGGAGCCGGATCTGTCCTCCCTTCTCGGCTGCTCTCTTCAGAGCGGACTCGCCCCCAGAACAGTGGGCTGCTGCCCCATGTCTCTCTCTCCCTCTCTCTCCAGGCCGTGCCACCCTTCAGGTGGTCCCGTCAGGCCCCTGATCTCTGGCTGGTCCCGTTTGCCCATCTAGGGAAGGAATTAGCAGACGGTTCTCGATCGTCCCCTTTTCTGTTCCTCCCTTTGTCTGACTTCAGGACTGATCTGCTAAGTGTCAACAGCCTCATAAATTCTCCTGCTCCTCTGTTTTAACAGGGGTGAACAGCCCCTTTCCCAGCTGTGGTTCTTCTCTGATGTGTGCATCTATTTGTCTCAGTTTCCCCAAGCCCAGTGCTTCTCTGCCCCGGGAGAAACGTGACTGCATTAACATGTATTTTGCCTACCTTGAATCGGGTTGCAATTGCTACCCCTTCTTATTCCCTTGTTAGTCATGTCTCTCCCTTTCCTGCAAAGTGGAAAACAAGCTATTGCAATTGTTCCCTCTCTGGTTTGATCACTGTTCTCCTCCTTTCGTGACCCAGAAACCTTCAATGGCTCCTGGGGAAAGGGCTATTGCAATTTGTTTTGATTGGGAGGGAAGGGTTAAGAGTTTCATGCAGGTAGTGCAGTCACGGGGTTTAACTGGACTGTGTGGAATAAATGAATAACTAACATGAGAAAGAATAAAGGAAAAACTGTGAGAAGCCAGATAGCAAGAATCAGGTATCAAAACATTATTCAGAGACTGAGGTCAGAGAGAATTATTGAATTATTACTGACTATTACCTCATTCTCTTATCTACCCTGAGAGAAATGTCATTTTTCTGGAATATAAACGGCTGAAAATGTGCATTCTGTAGCTCTCCCCTGCTGCAGTGGCTGCAACGTTTTGTTTAATGTTTAGGTTTGGCAACAATTCTCCTGGGGTTTAAGCTCTTTGATAGGAGCATGGAGGGCGAAGGCCAGTTGATTTGTCTCTCAAACAGTAAATCAGATCTGTACTCCTCTTCCCCTGAGAGTCCACTGCAGAATTCAGAAATCCGTCTTCATATTTTCCTTGATGATCCCTGTCGTTCATATGATCAGGGCATTCATCTCCTGTTGGAATTTTATTAAGATGCTTCTATCTTTCCATTGCAATCTGTGATCAGTTCATCTGCTTCAGAAACTGAGCAGTACAGAGTTCTGCACTGGCATTATGTACGCCCACCTTGTTCTAAGGGGGTTTGGATGACCTTGGCCATGAGCTTAGGTCATTCCTGTTACGATCCCTGCCTCTCGGCAACGAAAGAGGCAGAAGAAGGCGTAGCCTTAGTTCATAAGTCCACCTATCAGTGTACGCTTTCACCACCACACCTCTGTCTCATCTGGTATTCAAGCATTAGTCTTTCCCTACCCCCTCACTCAGTATTGGTTTTCCTTTCGAGCTACTTAGTTGCGCTACGCCTTCTACCTCCTCGTACTGTTCTGGTTCCGACTTTGGTTTATCCCCTTTTACTACGTCTTTTGGATTACGGCTCGGCTTCTGTTGCTTTCTCCTAGTTTGGTTCTCTGGCTTCCCCTGGACTCTCGGCTCTCTCCTTTGTCTACGGTTTTGGATTACGGTCTGGCTTTGGCTACTCTCTCCCTGTTTGGATCACTGGCTTCCCCTGGACTCTCGGCTCTCCCCTTCGGCTACGGTATTTGGATCACGACTTGTCTCTATCGGCTCCCGCAAGTGGGTTCACTACTTGGTTTCGGTTTCACTGGCTGAATCCTTAACAATTCCCTCACCCAAGCAGGTTGCAACAAAAATTAAATTTGATTTAATACCTTTCACATCTCGTTTAGAACTGTGTAAGCTGTTCTATTTCAATTAAAAAAAATACAAGGTGAAGCTCTAGGACTGCAGTCACCATTCTGTTACTCTCGTAGAGCAGAAATAACCTTGCAGGACCTTGAGAGAATGTGGTCAGTATTCATGAATTTTAAAGGTAAGCATTTGAAGCTGGTGGAGATTTGTCAGGCTGCAGTAGTTGAAGAGATTTTGGGCATAGGCCTTTGGTTAAGCCTTGCCTCACCATTCTACATTATCCTGAGCTAACTGCTTGTAAACCATCAATGATCATCTAGCCGCTCTCAGGTAACAGCTCAGAGCCTATCCTGTTAGTATCAGGCCCAAGGCAGGATCACAGCAATGTTGGGACACCAGGTCAGTGCTGGACACCCAAACAAAATATTGACACTTATTAACACATGTGGCTGGGGGAGAACATGCAGACTCCACACAGAAGGTGTTTCAGTCCAGAATCAAAACCAGGACCCTAGTACTGTGCAGCTGTATTGCTAATCCAGCAGCCATATCACCCTGCAACTCACAACTGGCAGCCCATTGAAGCTCAGCAGGTGTGAGCCAGGCCAGTACCTGGATGGGAGACCTCCTACATCTGCTGCTGGAAGAGGTATTAGTGGGGCCAGTAGGGGGTGCTCACAGACTGTGCTCTGTGTGGGTTCTAATGCCCCATTATAATGACACTATACGGTAAAAAGGCACCGTCCTTTGAATTAAACATAAAACCAAAGTCCTGATGGTCATTAACAAATCCCAGGGTGTTTCTGGAAAAGAGTAGGGGTGTAACCCCGGCATCCCGGCCAAATTTCCCATTGACCCTTACCAGTCATGGCCTCCTAATAATCCCTATCTATGAATTGGCTTCATTACTCTGCTTTCCTCCCCACTGAGAGATGGTGTGTGGGGAGCTTTCTGGCACACTATGGCTGCCGTCGCATCATCCAGGTGGGGTTGCACATTTGTGGTGGTGGAGGAGAGTCCCCATTACCTGTAAAGTGCTTTGATTGGTGTGTCCAAAAGCACTATATAAGTGTAAGCAATTATTATTAATCTCCATACCACTGTTATGGTGATATATGGCGTTCAGCAATGACTTGGCTAAATAACTCATACCTCTACTATTTCTTAATTCCCTGTTCAAGTTCATTGTCATATGTACCCAAATGCAATGAAATGCTTACTAGCATTTCCTCACATGACAGATGACATAACATCGACATAGAAAATGACATATGACACCACTATTCTTAGAGCCAGGAACATGGCAGCAGCTATAATTTTACTCAGCATATAGATTCAATTAAATTCAATTCAAAATACCTTATTCAGTTCAGGTTTAGGTTTAGGCTTTCATACTCCTAAATCTTCTGCCGGAAGGAAGAAAAGAGAAGAGTACATCCCCAGGGTGTCAGTCTTGGGTTACACTGTTCGCCGTTCTGAGGCAACGTGTGCTGAAGATGGTCTGGATGGAAGGGAGTTCTGTACCAGTAAAGGTCTCAGCTGTCTCCACCAGCTTGGGTGGCTTTTACGGTCATGAGCTGAGCAATTGCCAAACCAAACTGTCACGCACCCAGTGAGAATTGCTGCTATAGTGCATCTGTAGAAAGATGTGAGTGGTATGGGATGACTGTGCTCTTGTGATTACTTCATCTGTGTGAAGGGACCAGGTCAGACTGCTAGTGAGTGAATTCCCAGAAACCTGAACAATACATAAGACTGTTAAAAACGTAATAGGTTTTAGAAATAAAAGAGAAAGCGAGGAGATCGTTCGATTTGGAGGTTATCAACATTTTTTGATCAGTCAATGTTTGTTTACTGCCCGCCAGGGGGCGGCAAAAGCGAAAGAACAAGATCGCTCTGGTTGAAAAGCGACTAAGTGCGCTGCTGTACTGCGACTGTGCCCCGGGAGCTCAGGCCTTCTCACGTTAACAGTGGAGCTGTAAAATAAGTTTTTCCAGACCGGGTCTTATCGCGTCGTGGGTGGAGACTGCTGAAATGTTCGTGCAGCCGAGAAGTTGCCTTTCCGCAGCGACCGTGAGATACGCCGGATTAGAACGGAGCTCCATCGTTTATAAACAAGGTATCAGCAGCACTGCGCTCTGTAATTACTAATTTTCTAGGATGTTTGAATGACGTGACTTTTGCCAAGCTAAAGTGCAGATTTGTTGGGGGATAAAAGACAGTTTTAAGTTTTCTTTTTATATTTTTCATAGGAGTCTCAATTTTACTTAATTTAATGTCTTTATATACATTTGACAGCTGTTACATATACAGTATATAAAAAGCTTTTATGCATACGACAACGTAGAATTCGTTAATCAAAATGAAGAATTAAAATAATTAGTATTTTCAGTAGATCAGTGAACGGATTGATAAATTGAGTTCCTATGAACTCCTAAAATTCTATGAAGAAAAGCTTATTACTAGCCTTGATGAAGTGTGATAGGTGTTCGTGTTGTATTCCGCTGTTATTTCTGCTGTGTATTCCGTGCAAAATATTCTTGGACGTTGTTTTCGTAAAGCGTTCGAGACTCTGAAGAGTGTGTCTGAGGGTGGTCCTCATCCAAGATCTTTTCTGTGGGTGTTTCTGGAGTGCTGAGGATCTATAAGGGAGCCATGAAACTCTCGTGGGTTAAACTCACCGTTGACGCGGCTACTGAACACGGGTTCCAGCGTCTCGAGGGCATGCAGGCGCCTAGGACTGTTAGAAAAGCAACCAGAAAGAAAGCATATCAGTTCCCCAATATATGTTTATAATCCATCTTGAACGAATCTGTACGGTTAATAATGACTGGAGCTGACGGAGTCCACCCCTGTCTTGTGAGATAATGGGACCAGTGGACTGCTGCCTTGTGTTGTGGTTCTGTTCATTTCCTTCCCACTAGGGCTGGCCCAGGAGAGATCTCAACACACAGCATGATTCATCTCTTTTTTCTCAGGAGGCATTGTCTTAGCCCTTCCAATGGTGCACAGCGCGCTTTGAACAGAAGCCCCGCCGTCACTCATGTTGTTCTCTAGCAGGCAGAGTGATTCCTAACGGCTTCGCACGGCCCTCTTGGCTAACTTCCGACTTCATTTTTTGAAGGATATGATCTTCCGGCCATCCTCCCGGTCTGTGTATGTGGCTCCCCGTCGCTGGCAAATTCCTGTGATGCTGCTGTTTCTTATTCTGGTCTGCACAGTGTCTTCAGAAACCAGCCTTCGACAGAAGTCCCTGGACCTCATGTCTCGGAAACGTCTCATTGACGGGCAAGTGTTTGTGGATCACTCTTATTTTTTTTACCAGGCTATCTCATCTAATGGGTACTTTTTTTTCAAATAAGTATGTATGTTAGGTTTTATTTCTGAATCACATAAAACAAAATGAACTTTTAATTATGTTCTAGGTTCCAGTAGAGGATAAGTGCAAGACGTGTTGTTTTTTGCTTTATTCAGCAGTACTGCTCATGTATGTTTTCTTCCGAATGCTGTCCTGTGCGTGTCTCTGTTATTTGTCTGCGTGCATGCACACTTCTGTACATGCATCAGTAATATGAGAAGGTGCAGGTGAGATTTTCTTCTGCACATCTTCTTGTGCACAACAACTTCACAGCGCTTGATGAGGATTCTGATCGAAACAGACTGGTGGTGACACAGTGCCCCCACCAACAAGGGAGCCTCAGTCTTCCATGTGTTTATAAATTCAAAACAAATATTCAGACAAGGTTAACACGTGTACATCAAAAGGGGACAGAACAAAGAGCAGCCTAATTAAGCATAAACCCCCCAAAAATCCCAGTAGTTTACAGATGTAATTTCCTCTTTACTTATGGAAAACAAGACCCTTGCTGTTCCAGTTCTCGGAGACATTACGTAAAAGAATAATTGTTTTATAAACAGCCCAGGGCATAAGGAAGGCACGACTTACTCCAGCACATCTGTAATTGACATTAAAGATATTTCTTGAGGTTTCTGTGCTGTGTCAATCTGGGGCAAAATATTCGAAAACACTAACATGTTCATCATTCTAAACCAGGTTTGTCCAATGCTGGTCCTGGAGGATCACTGTATCTATGGATTTTCTTACCAGCTCAGCTCTTAATGAGCTTAATCAACACCATACTGCCTTCATTAATCCAACTTAACAGCTTTTACCACGTCTTTAAGATGTTGCTACTTTAACGAGACCTAGACAACCTGCAAAAACATCAGCCCACCAGGAGCAAGATTGGAGACCCCAATTCCAGACCCTGGGAAGAAGCAAAGCGCAATACAGAAAACACAGTGTTAGGATATATAGTTAGGTGTTGATTTTAAATCAGGGGACGTCATGTTAAGATTGTACAGTGCACTAGGCAGAGCTCATTTAGAACATTGTGTACACTCTCATAATTATGTTGCAAAAATGATATGGCTGTTTTGGAGTCTGTCCAGAGCCACTACTTAACATTCGCAGGCTTAAAGGAATGCCCTACTCTGGCATGCGATAAGACCTGTATTACTTTAGTCTTGGACAGATCCAAGAATTAAAAATCCTTTAAAAGCACTGAGCCAGCAGACGTATCTATCATCCACAGTGAAACACAAACCAGAGGACACAGATAGAAACTATGGGAGAGAGGTTTTAAAGCTAAGAGTAGCAGGGCACCCATTTATGCAAAGGGTTGTAGGAGTATGGAACAAGCTACCGTACCATGTTATTTTAAAACCGATACCTCTGTGTCTTTGAAGAAATAAATGTTTGGAAGAGCATTCAATGAACAGGCTAGATGGGAAGAATGACCATCTTGTGTTGGTGCTGTTTCTCGGGTTTTTTAAATTCAGAGGCCTTCTGTATGTTTGTGCCACTCTTGTCTGCAATCCCTGTGCAGTAACCCCAGGCAAGCGGTGTCTTTCTGTGGAGTCCTGCTTTCACCTCACATTTTGTACTTCCTCCCCTGCTTTCCGTAGGCACAACGATCTTGCGCTGCAGTTAAGAATTTTTTATGACAACCAACTCAGCAAAACCGACCTGCATCATGTTAACCAGACTGCTACAGACATACATCGGATGAACCTTGGTCATATTGGAGCACAGGTAACCAATCAGCTTCCCCAAACTTGCTGAAGGTTAAGTACAGGACTTGTGCATCTCCTTCAGTAATAGTTACCACACAAGCAGTTTTGCAAACAAGGCTGAACTATTTCAGTCAGTTTACCAGTCTCCTGACTGCTGTATCATGTCTATGTTGACAAACCGTTGGACTGTTCCATTGTGGTGCAGAGACTGGAAGGGTAAAAGGCTGAGAAAAGTAAAGCAGGCTGCTTAATGCCATCAAACAGAGTTACAAAATGTATTTTTTATTTAGCTAATCTGTATCTAACAAAGCGTTAAAATGCAGATCTTCATTGAAATCCAGCAGGTTACATTCCAGGCAGTACATCTGAAGGAGGGCAGTTGTAAAACTCAGATAGTAATACAGGGTTGAAACCAATTACAAATCTCATCGGAGCCTTAAAGAACTGGAGGCAAATTTTACAAACATGCACCAGATCAATTGGCCTGTGATTAAGAGCTCAGCTGGTGCAAAACCCAAACGACACAGTGCTCTTCCAGGGAGCCAGGTGATGTTGTGACAGGTGGCTCATGAAAGGCAGCAGAGACACGACCCCAGACATGACCTTTAGGGTGTCCTCAGTTCTGAGCTCTGTAGGGGTCAGGTCTCGATCAGCTGGTCTATAAGCCCCAGCGTCTCACCTGCGTGCCGTTTTCAGGTGTTCTCGGCCTACGTGATGTGCACGGCGCAGGGGAAGGATGCAGTCAGGCTGACGCTGGAGCAGATCGACGTCATTCGGCGCCTGTGCAGCGAGTACGAGGAGCTGGAGCTGGTCACCTCCTCCGCAGGTAAAGAGCCACGCTGGTCCACTTCAGTCACGCGGCTTGACTGCTTGGCGTCTGCAGTCTCGTCAAGCTTTCCTCACAGCCGAACTGCTTCACTGGTCTAGGTGTTGGCGTAACTGGATCCATTTAACATTTTCATTTAAAGGGGCTGAGAATCTCTGCTGAAGGATTGCCCTTTATCACTGCTGTTGTAGACAGTGCTGGCTTACTGGACTGGAGCCAAGCACATGGGCCGGACCACTCAGGACCACTCGGACCAACTAGGATATGATAGCTGGATCAGGAATGTGTTTCCCTCTGCACAAGTTCTGCTGTGCTCTTCTGAAATTGCTTAGGTGATCCACGCTGTCTAAAGATGATTTTTTTCTTTTTTTCCGCTTAATTTGGAGATTTCAGTCCCTGCGAAATGCAAATACGGAGGTCGGGGGGGGCAATAACTGCAGTAACAGCACAGAGCTGCAGTATCATCTGTTGAGATGATCTTCTTTAAAGAAGGCATACCTTCTTTAACATCACGTAGGCCGTAGTCCACATGACTACTCATGTCTGCGCTAGATGATTCATATTTAAAAGAGCCCCACTGTCTGTTCAATGAGGTTCTTCCTAACTGCCTCTTCAGAAGAAAGGGCTGAAACCCAGGCCCCAGGCACAGCTTAGTGTCTGTGTTGGGCATGTCTGATATCAGATCTGTGTTACGTGAACTTGCACACTCATTTCCTGCTGCAAAATTACTTTCCAAGGCTTTGCAGTTCTCTAGCACTTCCAGACAAAAGAATATATATTTCTGGATCTGCTGATTGCTGCTTCAGAAGATCAGTATTTTCTGCCCCACAGTGAGTGGGGCTCCCCACGTCCCAGTGGGAAAATGGGAAAGTCCTCCACCCCTGTGACCAAGCTGTCGTTTTAGAAATGTCCACCATGGCCTGGAATGGTACTGACCCCGCACCCAGACATTTTAAGATTGGCGTGTTTGATTGCTGCACTTCACAGCACAAAGATGTGAGCAGTCAGCGTTAGTCTGTGCTCTCCCTCTCTGGAAACACCAGACTGGTCCTGAAGGCAGCACCAGCGGTGCAGCTGGCCAAGAAAAACATAAAAAAAAAAACTTTCAGCAGGGAAATGAGATGAATGAGCCTGAACTAAAAAAATTGAAGCACAGCCCTATTCTTGCAAGCTGGGCTGAAGGGTGTGCACCTCTTGAACCAGACAGGGTTATGAACCCGTGACAGTGGGTTAATGCTGGAACTCCAGAGCTGTTTGTCAACCAGCTCTTTCCCGGAAAGCCACTGAACCATGTCATACAGAACATTTTTCCAAGAACTCTTTTCACTGGCAGCGGGGCAGCACACCAGTGCCTCTTTAAAACTACAGCTGTTGCGTTACACGGTGTAAATGAGGCGGTCTCATTTACGCGTGTAATAAAAGAGGGGCCAGGCAGGGTTTGTTCCAGCAGAATGTGTGATGCCCACAGCAGGGGTACAGGTTCAAGGCGGGACCCGAGCAGAGATACACCCCGCACTAAAGATTTAAGGTGAAAATAAGGTTTGTAGTAAATGTTAATAAGGCCACAAATAGGACTCTTCCAGCAAGACTCTGGGGAAAGAATAAAGGGGTAACATGGGTAAGAAAAGCTTCTTCCAGGAGGACTCTGAACAAAATAAACAGTAGTTTAGTTAGTAACCGTAACAGTAGTAGTAGTTAGCAGCAGAGCTGCTCTTCAGCCAGAGCTGGAGAGAAATAGTCAATCACCGATTTAAACTATAGCAGAAATGCTGCTCTTCTGGCTGGTAGCTGGGAATGTAAGCCACTGTCACTGCGGCCGACAAAGTGGTTTTCCAGCTGGTAAACATAAACATCCTTCAGCCAGGTGTTGGATTCAGCCTGGCTGGGGCAACCTGGCAGAGTTTGTCCTCAGACTGCTCCTGGTCATCACCGCCTCCTCGATCTGCGCTCCGTTTATCCTGTCTGGAGCAGGATGCGCAGCCGATCCCACTCCAGTGATTGCTGGTGTCCTGTCAAACCACCTGTGATCTGCGCACTGCCATCTTGGGGAGGGAGAAGCTTTGAGAAACAAAGATACAAGCCCCAGGAAAAGCCATGTCTTGCAAGGCACATCTCCATGTGGCATCTCAGATGCCAGGAGAAAGCCAGAAAAGCTTGGTATAAGTTGGCTTCTGGTGACTATTATGAAAGTCATAAGTTGATATCATGACTGTTTAAACTCGTTCCCTACAGTCAAAAAGTGAGGTTGCTCAAGGAATACAGTGAGAGTTGATTATGGGGTTAAAAAAATAAATTGAAATAAATCTCTAGTTAAAATTAAATGTTTATAATTTTATGGAATATGAAGACAATATGGCCAGGACTTCTGAGCTGTAATGGCTGGTGCTGCTACTTATGAAGAGCTTTGGGATGTTTTGGAAAAGAAAACCGAAGTATTTATTTATTATTGTAGCAATTTGAGCAGGGCCAGTAACAGATAGCAAGAGGGGAGCCTGTTTGTTTTTCCATGTTTGCTTCACCAATGACTCAGAGGCATCATCCACAACAGAGTAGCTTTCCCACATCGCTCTCCCAGTAGATCACCCTCCAACGGTGCCGTTTCAGGCATCAGGAACACAGAGAAGATCGCCTGCCTGATCAGCATCGAAGGAGGACACTCGATCGACAGCAGCCTGGCGGCCTTGCGCATGTTCTACGAGCTGGGAGTTCGCTCCATGGCTCTGACCCACAACTGCAACACGCCTTGGTAAGCCAGCCCCCTCACAACAGCCCTCCTGTCACCTGTAGCTCATGCTGCCACCAGGAAGAAGCCTGGCATACTCATGCCAGGAAGAACTCTGCTGGCACTGTAAAGATGGCAGCTGTGATACTGCAGCAGTGGAATGTCATGGCATGCATTGCTAATACAAACACTGTGGGCTTCCTGCCAGCTGTTGGCCCACACCAAGACCAGCTGCAGTGTGCAGTCCCCCTGTTTCCAACAGTGTTAATTTTTATGTGTTTTTATTTGGATTCACTTGGCTTCCTGCTGTTGGTATGGGGACACCCTAGTAAGAAAAGACGTTTCCCCATTTCCTCTTCTATCCGGCAAGGTGTCCTACTATATTATCTTGGCTTTAAGAAAAGCACCCTGACCTCTTGCTTGCCTCAGGCCTGTAGGATAGCTCAGCCACAGACTGAAGGAAAGGTATGAGATATTACAGACACTGGCAGGTGTGTAGCATTCAACCCATCACGTTTCATAGTGTTGGAGTCCCCCGCGTTGTGGTGCTCATCAATCTCTTTTTATTTCTGATTTGTTTAGGGCAGAGTCATCCTCTAAGAAATACAGTCATTATCAGAGAACAAACAACAGCCTCACAGCCTTTGGGAAGGTAAGGTAAAGATGACGCTTCTGTGATTTTGCAAAAGTGTGCAATATGCTTTTTTTATGAAATGGATATAAATTGGCTCCCCTCCCACTGTTGTTGGATCAGCACCTGTGGCAGGGCTCTTACTGATGATGATGATGATGATGATGCTGCTGCTGAACTAGAATCCAAAACCGGGTCATGACAGATGCAGACTCCGGAAAAGTCAGGGTTGCAGCGTGTGCCGAAGAAATAATGGGTGGTTTTAAAAGTCGACGCTGACGCGCAGGTGCTACGTGTGCCTCTGCTGCAGGAGGTGGTGAAGGAGATGAACCGGCTGGGCATGCTGGTGGACTTGTCCCACAGCTCCTGGGAGACGGCCAGGGCGGTGCTGCTGGTGTCCCGGGCACCTGTCATCTTCAGCCACTCCTCTGCCTTCGCCCTCTGCAACAGCACCAGGAACCTGCCAGACGACCTGCTGCAGCTGGTGGTAAGCCATAAGGTGCTCAGGACAGCGGGGGGGGGGAGCTTGTTAAAACCCCCATCCTCACATCCTCCCAGGAGCCTGTGCAGGAGGGGCAGATGCATCCCCTGTTAAGCCAGGATCTTGTGCTCTTCAAAAGCCCATTAAAACAGAAGTCAGTGCAAGGAAAGTTGGTTTTCACTAATCGTGTCGTGGTATTGCATCTTTAAAGTCACCCACAGCATCAATTGCTCTATTTCTCTTTGAAAAGGAGAGTGGAGGCTACACTGGCTTTCTGCCCACAGGCTGGGGCAGGGACAGTGGGGCATGAAAAAGGTGCTCTGATAGCAGGGGTAACTTCAATGGGAGTGGTCCAGATCTCAACAATTCACACGCTTACGGCACAGTGTTTGGAGTATCAAATACTCGTTAAATAAACGAGTCCAGAGCTGTTGCTAATTAGGGTCTGTAGAGCAACCTATCTATAATGGTCTAACTCTATGCTGTAACAATTTAAAATAGTCACTGTAGATATCCCAAGTACAGTGAAACAATCATGCAGCCATGCAGTAGAGTTTTTATAAAAGGGAGGCAGTCTGACATGACGAGGGGTCCTTCTTTACTCCTGACACATCCGGAGCTTGTATGTGGTATCCCCCTAATGCGTGTTGGTTGTTAATTTTGTCTTCCTGATCAGAAAGAACGGCGAAGCCTGGTAATGGTGAACATGTACAGTGGCTTTGTGGCCTGTGGAAAGAGAGGCAACATCTCCATCGTAGCAGGTCAGAAACGTTGTCCGTACTGGGCTCGGTGTGAAAACAGGGGAGAAAACTCAGTTCTTCTGTCATTTTTTCCCCCATCTTTGCTCTCGTGGTTCTAACTGCTCTTTTGGAATTTTTTTTGAGCACTTTGCTGTGCAGTGCTCACCCACTTATCTTTGGCTTACCCTTGCCTTGTCTGTCGCAGATCATTTTGACCACATCAGGAAAGTGGCCGGCGTGGAAGTACTAGGAATTGGAGGAGACTACGATGGAGCACAGATGTATGTATAGACTTCTGGCTAAAGGCTGCACGAACAAATTCTAGCAGCACTGCGATGAAGTCGAGCAGTGTTGCGTTCGAAAAGTCTTTTCGAATCTTATTTTTTAGGGATTGGAATAAAAACTAGTCATCTGTGCACAGGAAGAAAGTCCGGGCTTCAGCTGGAAGACAGACTCTTTTCTAATGCACATGCGTTAGGCCATTCAAGGGCTGCTCATCGTTTCAGGTTTCCTGTGGGTCTCGAGGATGTATCCAAATATCCCGCCCTGATCGAGGAGCTCCTGCGGAGAGGCTGGTCTGAGGAGGAGCTGTCCGGTGTCCTCCGGGACAACTTCCTGCGGGTGTTTGAGGAGGTGGAGCGAGTGAGTACTGATTTTAAGGAGAAAACAATGGCAGCCTTGTAGCGCAGGTTACTGGGACCTGATTAACTAAATCATTTCATACTAATAATAATAATAATAATAATAATAATAATAATAATAATAACAACAACTCAAAGCTCTTAAATGTACTAACAATGTGACAGAGGAGCACCTTTCCACTGGACAAATATGAAAAGAGGAGCTCAAGGAGCAAATGTTTGGGATTAGCCTTGGGGCAACCTTGTTGTGAAAGGCGCTATATAAAAATAAATTGAATTGAATTATCAATAGTGTTTATGGGGCAGATCCTTCCCAGGTTTTGGGAAAAGAGTGAGCTCCTGACTAAGTTCCACACTAGGTTCGCTCAGTCTGGCCTCCCTAGTTTCCGCTTGATCCTGCCAGCGGAGCCATTTCTCACATCTCCCCCCGATCTGCTGTCACCCAGGTGTGGGCTGTACGTCAGAGATGGATGAAACAGACCCCCCCCCATATAAAGCAACTTGCAGTCCTTCAAGATGAAGGATGCTGTATAAATATGAGGCATTATTACAAATGACAGTTATAACTTACAAGACATCTTACTATATTATATAGTTGTCCTCTATAAGATTAATTTAAGATTAAATAGTAACCTTATTTCAGATATTCAACAGATAAGGCTATGAAAAGTTGTATTGCACTGTTTTTTTTTCAAATACAGACCTCATTAAAAATGAGATGCAGTGGGACGTTTTTTTAAACAAAGCTCACAAGGGTCTCTTTGGTCTCCAGGTCCGGGACGCCAGTACGAAAGATCTGCCAGGCGAGACACAGGTCTCTCTCGCTGAAGCAGGGAATTCCTGTCGCTTGGTTCTGCAGCCACCTAAGTCAGAGCCATTAAGTAAAGGAGCACAGCCTCTCTTTCGGAGTTTTCTGCTCCCTGTCGTCTGCGGTGTGCTCTCTCTATCCATGGCATAACTCAACCAGTTTGTACTGAAAAACTTTGCTTCTTTGCATATGATTTCATATCCAGACCTTACCTCTGCGGAGTACTGCCTGAACATTTCATTTTTGTTCATTCCGAATATGGTTATTGCCTGTCACTCATTGTGCACCTGCAGGTGTGTTAACAGCTTAACAAAATAGCTTCCTCTTTGGACAGGAGAGTAAATATGACCAACCTGCTATGTAGTAGTGATCTTTATTTTCACTTTTAGCTACAGGTTTCAAAAATAGGTGCAGCCCTTAAATGACTAAGTTCTAAGTTGGGCTCAAAAGCTTTTGAACAGTAATAGCAGGATGCAATATTGAAGTGAATCCCTCAAATTTTTAGTGTCATGAATGTGATCCTAGGAATGTTGGTGCTTTTAGTCAGGAAATATTATTTTTAACTTATCTGAATAGACATATTTTGCACTTGTATGACATAGTAGTTTATTATTTGTAATTTAATTTTATACGTATTTTATATATGTAGCAATGTAGCCACGCTACCCTTTTACTATACTTAAAGCTGACACGTGAAGAATTTCCTGGCCAGGTCAGTGATCCAGTAAATCTGTACCAGCTGGAGCTGAAAGGTATTAAACCTGCTTTACTGGGGTGAAACACTTTGATGCTATCATATTACTGGGGTGAAACATCAAGCTGATGCTACCTTGTAGTCCATTAAAGATCACTGTAGTCCATTAAAGGAAAATAATGATGTTTTCACATTTTTTATTTGCTGTTATTCTGTGCGCCATTTACCGTATCTCTGAAAACGTCTGCCGATGGTAGATTTTACTTTATTCAGGGTTGGGAGGTGGCTGTGATCTGCATGGGTTTCAGGGTCGGTACATTGGAAATAGGAGCCAAAAAAAAAACGTGAAACAAAATGTTAAGAATTTGCAGATATAAAAGCTGTAGAAATAAAATGCCTTGATGCCTTGATAAAGCTTTGATGGGACCAATTATCTACTGCACCCACAGAGACTTCACGCCTCACAGCTGTCTTACCACATGCACTATTGTGCAAACAATAATGTATGCACTCCAGCTGATCCACACTTACCCTACAGGCTCTTCCTGCTTTACCAACACCTGGTCTTTTATGTTATTTGGGAAGAACGTTCAGCTAATAAATAAGAAAATAAATAAGACCAATCAGAACTGACAATCTTGCACAAATGCCGATTTGATCAAGAATGATCCAGCTAATCATATCTATCTTGTTATGGGTACAAAAGGCAGACAGAACAAAGGCAGTGTCATCACCAACGCTGAAGGCCAGTTTGCTACTATGACACCTTAAAGCAAAGAGCTAATGCAGAGAGATCGCATCAAAACAACCTTTCCTGTAGTTGCTGCAATTCAGAAGGGCATTACTAGCTCATAAACTGAACTTCCTACTTGTATTACAAAAACTTTTAGAACAATCACACAAAAGTAAAAGTGTCTGTGCATCTCTTCCATGAAGAGGAAACGTCCTAAAATGTCCCCAGAATTTCTGCAATCTTTACTGCGATTGGAGCACCTCGTCAAGTTCTCCTGGTATCAAGATATGCATCTTGGAGAAAGGCAATGCAGTCCGGCAAAATCCAAAGCAAAAACGTTTTTTCCCATTTGGATATTGTCTTGAAATAAAAAGACATCTAAATCTTTGCTTTAAATAACAGAAAAAAAAGTTTGTAACAATTATAGACTACAAAGGTATATGGTAGATTTTCCATCCTCACTCGTGATAGAACGTGTTCAGTGATGCCTGACGGCGAAAAAGCAAAGTGGCTGTTCTGGGTTGCCCAGCTTACTAGCAGGAGTGACTTCATGAGTAAATGGTGATGACCTCTCTTCCTCCTCCTCGCACCAGCAGCACCCTCTCCAGACCTTCGGTCAGCACCTCCAGAAACTCCATATCTGCAGGCTGGTCAGGGAAGCACAACCACGACGCAGGATCCTGCACTACAGCTGGACTTAAAGCCACCAGCCCAGGTGAAGAATCACCCAGATGAGAACTTTTCACCCTCTATATTCACAGCACATCTGGGAGACACTGTGAGCAGCATTAGGGATGGGAGATGTTCTGTGACACAACTGCTTGTTTTAAACTGCTTAAAAAGATTAATCCAGAATATGTACAAGCTTTTTCATGTGTACTTTATCGTACCTTAAATTTCCTTATTTGAACACATTTTGAGCACAGCTTACGTATTCTGTCAGCCTAGTCAGGCAGGCTCCTGGCAAAGAGCCCTTTTGTGCTGAAGTGTTTGCTCGATTACTGTATTTCTACTACTTAGAGATACTTTGAGTCTCCTTCATGGATCTGTCTGGTGACGGGTGGGCATGTGCACGCTAGCAGAAGGGTTTTTATTTCTTTGTATGTGCCCCCCAATTTAATAAATAAGACCCATGTATTCAGCTAGCACAGGAGGGCAGAGGATAGTGCATAGCTCCTTTCAGAATGCATGAGCTACCCATCGCTGTTTTGACAAGGCCAATGGCATCTACGCTAGTGTAGGCATCACCTGAGGGAATGACATCAGCTCCTAGCATCTGAAACATGACTCGCAGGTGCTTGGCCAAGTCACAGGGGTCACTGCAAGTCACAGCTACCCTAGACAGCTCAAGCCATCCCAGGTATCATCAGGACAGTTATGTCGGCCACGACTTGGGAAACCCTGGTCTCAGCTGGCTCTTGGGCCTGTCCAGAGTGAAAGTCATGAAGCAGGACTAGAGGACTCAACTTGCACTGAACGTGTGTCCTTAGTGGCTGAGCTGACCCACTTCTGTCTTGTGAAAAATCATGATCAGTAGCATGATGCCACTACCTCCCTGCAGCTTAAAGGATACAATTCTCATCGCCTTCCGAGTTCTTTGGTGGCCCGGGCATGTTTAGCAACACCAGCTTGGCATCATGAGACTTGTTCACAATCACTTCATTCAGCTTTACTGCTGTGTGCATTCTACGCACATTAGACTGGTCCCTATGGAAGAAAACCTTTCGTTACCAGAAAGCAACTTGAACAGCAAAAATTGAGCAAGGTCAGCACAAGGAGGAGAGAAAAGCAAGCCAGAGGGGCAAACTTACAGGTTTTCCCACTCTCTGCCAGTGAGCGCACACGGGGAGAGAGAGACACGGGGCACAAGTTAGAACAGGTAAAAAAACTAAATTACAGAGCTCCCAGCAGATTAAAATCATTTCTGTGAAACAGCTGGAGTAGATCATGGGGTAATGTGAATAAACAACTGCTGCCTACAAAAGGATTGATATGATTGACCCAAGACCAGAACTCTGTTTTACTGATCTGTGCAGAACATTATCTGAATAGTGACAATGCTGTAAAAACATTCATAAAAGAACTGCTGCAGAAAAGAAGCAGCAGTATGCATAGAATGCATAATAAAAAACCTTAACCTTTTAACACGAACTCAAGTAAGATTGTAGGTTATCCACTTTATAAACTGTGTGCTGTTTAACACATTTACAAAGTGTTGCTAAAGTCTTTAACATGTATTTTATGTATGTTTTTCATTGAGAAGCACTTCAACACCTCCTCTTAAATGCTCTCCAAGTGAACACAAACAGCTCCTTTTAAAAGCTCATTTTCACAAGAGTATGACTCTAAATACTGCTGCTGACCGATTCTGGGAAAAGCAGCAAAGGCATTCACAAAAACGAAGCATTCACATCCACCCAGAGCATCAACGTTCTTCCAGTTACATTAACCCTCTATAAGCTATCTTGATAGGTTTTACCATGTATTCAAGACAGTAATAGAACAGGGGGTGTTTCTGATCATGCCAACATGGGTCACTTCCATGGGGCCATGCCTATATGGGCACCAGAATGAACAGCTCCCTCCCTCCCCCCCTCCATGTGGACCAGTGAGGATGTCAGGATGTGCCCCCCGTCTGCTGCGCTTACGGCTTGATGCTGATGAGCTCCCGGAAGTTCTCGGGCGCATTGTTTCTGCTGCGTCTCTCTGCGTCGTATTTGTCCTTGGTCCAGGTCATCTGGATCTTCTCCGCCACCGGCTCTGGCACCTCCTCCTCCTCGTCGGAATACAGGCTGCCCATGCGGATCACCGAGTTCCTGTCTTTCACCAGCTGGGCCTGCGTGGGGCAGTAGAGAGCCGACACGCTCAGCCGCCCCCCTTGGTTTTTCTGGTCCAAACACGCTCCCCTCACTATGTGTCTGGTTCAGCTTGTTTCACACTGGCAAACACATTAAACGTCACAAACGAATGCAAGTAATTCAAACAAAACCACAGAGGAGGCCGGAACATCAACTGCCAATTATTTTATGTCCATGCTGGGAAACGACCTGGACAGCTGGACAGCAGCTGCTGCTGGGTAATGTTCCCAGTGCTTACAGTACGCACCTCCTGCTGGGGAGCTGGGAAAGAAAACACACACTCACCTCTCGGTCCCTCTCTGCGCTGGACAGTCTCATCTGCCTCAGCATCTGAGACCTCTGCTCCATCATCAGGGTGCGCTCGTATGTGTAGGCAGAGATGTCGCTGTTGTGCTGAAATGCAGAGAAAATGAGAGAAACGTGTGAAAGGGACACAGAATGCCAGGAGCATACAAAAGCCATTCATATTCCTCACAATGCTCTTCAGGGAAGGAGAGTGAAGAATTAATGACGTTTGAAACCCAACTTGATTGACGTTTTTATGCAGGTTAGTTTTCACAACAGAGAACAGTGGCCTAACTTGAAGCTGTAAGACATGTGTGTTATAGTAGCCGGCAGCGACAAACGTTTATCTCAGCGGGGGCGGAGGGACTATGCTCACCATTTCCACCACCTCCACCTCTGCCTCCAGCCGGAGCTGGTAGAGGAAAGTGGCCAGGTCCTTCTTCATCTGAATGCTGTTGTCGTCCATCTGGGCCACAGTGAAGATGCGCATCTTGCACTTTCTCCAAACCTGGGAGAGGACATGGGAGGGGAGGAGGAGGAGGAAGAAGAAGAAAGCTCATGAAACCATAGCAGGGCTTGACGCTATTATCCGCTGGGATGTTCTTTACAGAGTCTAGGATTGGGTTGTGTGTCACAGGGGCCCGAGTCCGGTCAAGAGGCCAGCGTACGTCGGGGTCTCCCTCACCTTGTGCTGCTTGAGGAGGAAGGGCAGTAGCATGAGCATGCCTCCGTCATGGACAATCCACCACACGTCGATGTGCCCCTCGGTGAAGCGCTCGTGGTTGCCGGGGTAGAAGGACACGTTCTTGGGCACCATCAGTGCCAGATGGGCAGCGGTTGTGCAGCGAACCGTGTCTGTGGAGAGAGCAGCGGACAAGCATCATGATCCTGAGACGTGCTGGCCTGCAGGAGTCTGAGGGCGTGGGTTTGACTAGCTGCCCCCCTCCAATGAGCACCCCAGTGACTGTTACTCCACAGCCTCTCGCTCTTGACCTGACAGAAAATATTCCAGCTTTTGCTGTTGCCCTTTACACTACTAGGTATCACAAAACTGGCAAAAACCCTCTGCTGGTAAGGAAACACCCTTTGCGTTTACTTAATTTTTAAATCATGCATCATCTCTACGAGCCTAACAGTCAATAATAAAGGGAAAATATTTTAGGAAATGCCTTCAAGAAAACATCAGCATCCCTTCACGAACTCCTATGGCATATCTTGACTAAGTACAAATTACACAGCAGTTTTTAGGAGGTGTTGATAAGCCCACTTCCCCTTGTGCTTCTTTATCTCCTCTATACTATGATCCACTGAACAACCTGGCTGCCCCAGATAAGAGCCCTACCCCTCTATACAGACATCACTCGCCACACCAGAAACCTATCTGTGGATTCCAGTCTCCTGCAGAGAGACCGATGACCCCACTAATGCATCTGGGCAAGGAACAGACGAATCCGCCCCATCGCACAGCTAAAAAACGCTCACGGGCAGGAAGTCTACTTCACTTTGAGATTTCCAGGTTGTTGGACTATCACTCTGATTTCCAGCACAGGTCAGCAATACCCTTGCTGGCCGGCTGACAGCACACAAGGTGCGACGAGCTCCTAAGTTGCGCGTCAGGCGCGGCGTGCTTACTGATGAAGGTCTTCCAGGCGCGAGGATCCTCGCTCTGCCTCCAGCCATAGGGCCAGCCCATGACCACGGCGTTGTGCTTCATGCCCCCCAGGCCGCAGGACTGGATCAGGTGGGCGATGCCGTCCCGGACCTTGGCGGCCACCACCACCTGGCAGAAGCCTTTCACCTTCTCGATCTCCATCATGTTCTTGATGGCCTGGCGGGGCAGAGGGACCGCGAAGAGGAGTGAGGAGAGGGGCCGGCGAGGAGGGAGAGCGAGCGAGGCCGGGGAAACGCACTGCGCAAACACGCCGTGACTGCATGCCCTGGAGCGCGCTGTACAAATAAGTTTCAGGATGTTTCACGTCCCTGGTACTGGCAATACAAACACTGCACATGTCAGATCAAGCAGTAGAGGCATGTGACTGGAACCTTGAATTCAATAAGATGAGCGTGATCTTTAAGAAACTCGTGTATACAGCATACAAATTGTTACAAAGGAGAAAAGTCCTAATCCATTTAGTCCTCTTGGTTGCTAATAGTAAATTGATCCAAGTATCTCATGCAGCTGTTCTGTGAACGATGCTTTAACAACATGGCTGAGTAATCTTGTTACAGACTCCCACAACCTTTTGTGTAAAGAAGTGCTTCAGTTTTCAGAGCATTTTCCTGCAGGTACCACTCGTGCCCTCTGGTTTGTGTGTCACTCTTCCGAGAAGCACATTTGGGTTGTCTCAATTCTTGTACTTTCCCACTCCAGATTATTATACTGCAAATTGGAAAAATAGTTGCTAGTGTGTTTTAATAAAACAACATGGATAAACCATAAAGAAACAAAGATAAGACGATTGTGGTTATCTATGAAAATCTAGCTCAATAACAAACAGTAGAGTTTGGATCCTGTCCAATTCAATTTAGCTCCAGGCAGCCATGCAGATTATACTTGTCGTCGTGACTCAGTACAACAACGCTTTGATATTGTTAGCTTGGGCATACAGTAGCTTTCTTTCAGTATCTGCTGCAGCACTTGTTCTGCTTGGACGCAGTTAGGTTGGGCTCAGCTCGACTCAGTATCTGCTGCAATATGTGTCCTGCTCTGATGCAGTTAGGTAAGGCTCAACTCGACTTGGTGTTTGTTCTGCTCTGATGCATTTAGGTCCAAATTAGGGCTCAGCTGGGCTCAGTATGTGTTCTGCTATGATGTAGTTAGGTTGGGCTTAGCTCAGCTTGGTGTCTGTTCTGCTCTGATGCATTTAGGTCCAAGTTTGGGCTCAGCTGGGTTCACTGCCTGTTCTGCTCTGATGGAGTTAGGTCAGAGTTAGGGCTCAGCTGGGCTATCTGTTCTGCTCTGATGCAGTAAACTCGGAGTTAGGGCTCAGCTGGGATCACTATCTGTTCTGCTCTGATGCAGTTAGTTCAGAGTTAGGGCTCAGTTCGGCTCACTGTCTGTTCTGCTCTTATGCAGTTAGCTCGGAGTTAGGGCTCAGCTGGGTTCACTATCTGTTCTGCTCTGATGCAGTAAGTTCAGAGTTAGTGCTCAGCTGGGCTCAGTGTCTGCTACAGTACCTGTTCTGCTGCCTGGGCCTCGCCATAGCTGTCCAGGAAGTTGCCCTGGATGACAGAGCCGACGATGGTCAGGCCCTTGCCGGCCTTCAGCTGCGAGGCGAAGGTGAGCAGCCGGGGGTACTTCACGTGCAAGTCCTCGTCCAGCTTCAGCAGCACTAGCAGCTGAGGCCTGCGGGGCAGAGAGGGGGTGCCGTTTTACACACGAGCCGCTTTCTTTCTACGACACCAGGCCAGCACGGTGAAAAAGCAGCCTCCTTTTCGGTGGTTAAAATGTCAGAGAAAAATGTTGCATTGGATTTTTTACTGGTGCTGAACTAAACGTGCACCACTGCAGCACCACAAACAAGAATATGATACAACAGACCGCTGCAGGTAAATGAATAAAAAACATTTTCGTCGTCTTGGCTGTGATGAAATCGTTGCATTACCTTTTATAAACATCCGTTTCAGGCAAAGACGACTTTCAGACTTAAGATCAGACCCACAGACTTAATTTCCCAGAAAGAGGTTCTGACAGAATCAGTTCACAATTAATTGAGACAAGGCAAACCGAGATTAGCGCCGTGTCAGAGTGATACTATCCGTGTCCACGAGCTGCACGAGGACTGCACGAGGACTGCACGAGGACTGCACGAGGACTGCACGAGGACTGCACGAGGACTGCACGAGGACTGCACGAGCGCGCACACTTGCCTCCAGTTCTTGGTGTGCGGGGGGCCGGCCTCCAGCCTGAGCAGGGCGTAGCGAGCGGCGCTGAGGGACAGCCCTCGGATCCCGTCGCCCCACTCCTTCTCCGCGCTGCCGGAGAGAGAGGAGCCGCAGATGAAATCCCCCTCCCTTTCCCGACCCCCACAAAGCCACCCCTAGACAGGACAGAGCGCCTCCGGAAGCACACTTGTGCCCGCGGGCAGGAACCGTGCATTTCCGATTCACATTCACACAAGAAACAAAAAAGGAATGAACATTTGAAAACTTTGCAGGCTGCAGCCTTATGAAATACCCGTGAAGGATTTGGGTATCAATTACCATGTGTAGGTAACTGATCAATCAAAAAATGAGGAACGAACGGGAACAGGTAAAGGTTTATTCCAAGAAAAGAGACACAATGTTTCGGCTGTGGAGCCTTTCAGCATGCAATAAACCATTACCTGTTCCTTTGTCACCTATGCATGCTGATGCTGCTACCTAGATGGATCTGTTTGCACGTACCCCTGATATTCGATGTATTTGTAGATCATGCCAGCGATGCCCATGGCCACAATGGCGTAATACCAGGAGGAGATGAACATCAGGGCCAGGCACATGCTCATACCCAGGAAGGACAGAGCCCTGGCAGGAACAGAGAGAGCTGTATAGCTGTACAGCTACAGGCACAGGACCATGGGCCCCAGCATTACGATACACAGAGCTCCTTTGTATAGTTATTCATATCAGGACACACATAGCATGTCTGTAGAGCCATTCACATGGAAGAACACAGGGCAGGGTTATATAATTGTTAGTATGGGAATAAGACTTTACTAGTCTTCTTTACTCTAGTTATGTTAATTTTTACTACTGTTGCCCAAGATATTTACATCCGAATCATACATTGGTTAAACAGAAACAGAAATTTGCTTATTTTCACTTGTTACAATTTTCTAAAAGGAACATTTCTTTCTTATTCATAGACCATGCAATAGGAACTCTAGAATAATGGTCAAACCTTTTCAATGTAGTTTACAGACCAAGAAAAGGTCTGGGGGTGATAACAAAAATAAGCTCTGCTTAAATAGAGGGTGAAAAGGAAACAAGGAAACAACCAGAGAAAGAATGATCTGCTTTTCCTAAACGCTAAGGGAGTTAGTCTAGGCATTGAAAAATGAGTGGAAACTCTGGCCTCGATTCATTTGCACACGATTAGATTATCTTCCCAGTAATGTTGAGGGGCACTGAAATGCAAACTGAAGGCGATTTCCATGCATGAAAGATTTGACAGTACGTAATGAGACCTTACCAGTGGTAGTACTTGAACCTTGGCCTCCAGTTAGGGGTTCGGAGGAGTGTTTGAACAGCACATGCCAGGTTCACGAAGAGATAGCACATCAGAAAAAACCTGGACAGGGATTAAACACAACACAACAAGGATTTACCATATTAATACAATATGTTAGGTTGCACTTCTTAAAGGATTTTTAGAAAAGTTAATTGTTAATTGTTTTTATAAGGTATGTAATCTAAACATTCTCCCCTTGAAGGACATCTCAGATCAGTGTGGATATTGACAGGATCTGGCTACTGTGCTTATGGTCAGTTTCACACAACTGCTGAACTGACCACTGCCACTGAACTCTCTGCTGTCCTCGTCTGTCAAAGGTTGGAGGCCTAAGATAATGGATGCACACAATGGGAAAATCACAAAAAGAAATTCTGTAACTTAAAGTATGGTTTCAACAAAGCACAGATCCATTTTCAAAAACACACCTGCAGCAGTAGGAACCTAGAGGGTTTGTGTTAAATTAGTGGCAAAGGTTCTATCTGCACAACTTGACTATTGCACTCACATGATTTCTAAGTGCGCTGAGCTCACAGAAGTGTAACACGTAATTGGAAGACAGCACTTTGAGAGTAAAATGATTCTGAATTTGACCTCCTGGCACAACTTCCTTTTAGAAGAAACAAATCCTAGAAGCCAATACCTGCAAACACTGTATGCAAATCCCAACACAACACTGCTACATGATACACAACAGAATTACTGTCTAGGGTAGCATGAGGCAAACAGATAACACCTGATCTTTCAGATTACACTTTCCAAACTGTGTCTCTGCACAAAGGACACAAATAAGACCATAGTACATATGTTATAATCCTCTCTTTCTGGGTAACAAGTTTTCCTGGAACTTGTTTTAATCTGATCTGATTGTTTGTTCTGCTTTTTTCTAAACGACGTTTGTATAGGAATCCCACCCCATTATTCTGAAGACAATACAGACATCATCACACGCAGTATCAACCACCATTCAAAAAGCCCTTCCTAAGATAAATGTGTATCCGTTATAGTTACTTGTATACCAGTAACTAAAAAACAAAACTAAATATATCAAAGTGATTTTAAGAACCACTTAAAACTAGAAAGGAAAAAGCAATAATTCAGTTGAGCAGCTGAGCCGATATTGGACCAAGGTTCAGGGGCTTCACTAGGGTTTTGTGAAACAGCATTTTTGTCAAAAATTCAACTGTATGCAAGCCTTATATTATATATTAAGCCTTATATCCCTTGGAGTACCAAAGGCATTTTAATGTCATTGCTAACATAATTGTTAGCAGACCCATGTTTCCCATTTCTGGATAACAGCCACACCTACACCTCTTATAAGGTCCCAGAGCGCACTGCATACCAGGAAAAGCAAAACCATACTGTTTTTCCTGGTTCAGTTTTCACCAGACTGAGTTTTAAACTCACAACATCAGGGGGACTTATTTGCCTTAACTGAGCTTTTCACCTCCTGTTTTCCCCTATTCAGAGGACCAATACTGTACAACCTGCCACATCAAGATTCTATTCATCCTTCAAAGCTGCTGATCCCTCTTCAGAAAAGTGAACGTTTTTAGTTTGGACGGGAATATTACCAGAGGGTCCTATTCAAGCGCTGAAAGGCACCGGCGACGGCAATCCCAGAGGCCGTCGTCAGAATGAAAAGTGAAACAAGCCAGACGACACCCGTGGAAACGAGTGCCTTTAAAACCAGAGAGCAGGAGGCACTTCTTTACGCAAAGGGGAGTGGGAGCGTGAAACAAATGAACCCAGCCATGTTGTTGAAGCCGATACCCTGGCTAAATTCAAGAAACGGCAGGGTGAGATCCTTGGATCAATTATCTACTAACTACCAGATAGGCCGAGTGGCCTCCTCCCGTTTGTGCCCTGTGTTATGTCCCCGTGGTGGGGCTCACATGGAGAGGATGGGAGCCACCATGTCCAGGGAGGCGATCAGGATGCCCAGCTCCGCGATCAGGCCGGTCAGCAGCAGGGCCCAGGTGGGCTCTCCATTGGCCTTCCCATGTCCAAACACCTGCCAGGAGACGGAAGGTTGTATGATCAAATTTGCGCTTCCTGAAAACGATGTAAAAATCTGGCAACTGTTCCAATTCAATTTTGAAATTCAAAGATAAAAAAAAATTCAATCACATTTGTGAAAAAAAAAAACTTCCTTTCCAATAAAGGATTTAATGCCCCTGGTTTAAACCACCATTGTTTCATTCCCAGGATGCATTGCTAATGTAATCAATGCAAACAAGAGAGGAAGTAACAGGCATCTGCATTTTTATCATCAGATCAGAGCTTCTGAATCTACACCATGGTTAAACATTGTGGGCTCAGTTCAGGTGACATTTATGTTGCCTTCATTTTACCACCTTTTTTTAAGATACACATATAAACTATTAATATTCCGAAAAAGAGAAAAAGGTTAAATGCATTTCTTTTAAATCAGTATCCTGAAAGAGTTATGCCACTTTTCCCAATTTTTTCATGTGTTGTTTTCTCACAAGGAATTAATAGGCAATAATTAAAAACAATGGTAAAATTAGTTTCATGATGATGATCCTCCGTGTCTTGTAGTGATCCCCTTTGGCTTAACCATTTTCTAGAAGGAAGCTGTTTTACTCTTTTCACATACAATCCTGAATGTGTGACACTCTGCACACATGTGAGAAATTCAAAGCTAATAATTCAATAATTTAACTGCTAATAAAATAACCAATATCAAAAACTCCCCAGGAACTAATCCATCCTGTCCAGAAAAAAAGCTTGTTACAATCAGATAAAAAGGTGCACGATGAGTCAGGTTAACATCCCTCATGGTGTGCGGAGTCCTAAAAATAGTCTTTCAGCAGGAGTTTGGACTCTAAAATGTGCAGAAAGAAGGGTAAACACCAACTGAATGACAGCGATTGACACGATGCACTTTAAACTATTTTAATGTTAAACCACGTGATTGATGGAGCGAGTCGAGAGACCATCTCCATACTTCTAGTTTCTAGAACTACTGCTAGACAGCGGATGATTATTGATTTGGAGCACCTAGAGTCAATCGCAAACACGTTGTGTCAGCTCCTTTTTCGTTAGTGTTTCCCTCCATTTTAGGCCCTCAGAAATGCAAAGAAAGACATTTAAAAAATGTGCCTACAGTGCCTCATGGGAAATCCGGCACTGGCCAGCCACCCTGAGGAGACCCTCAGACCCGCATCACTTCCACTCGTCTGCCCCTGGGAGGGAGGATGACGCTGCTGAGCTGGTACTGGTGCAAAGGCCAGCGAGAGGTGGGGATCCTGCCCTGCCTGGATTTGCCGATTTGTTTTCGGGTGTGTAATATGAAAGAATTTTGCTTTTTTTACCTACTGTCCTTGCAGTTTGCCCCAAAACTTGCAACAATGTAGACAGTGCACAGAAATCAGATGTTTTGATCGGATATTATACATTATTTGGTTTTTAATGCTTGCAAAACCAAAAGCAAGGTGCTCAGCAGAGGCATGCATAACCTCTTCTCTCAAAGAGGCTTGTGAGTGTTTTAACGGTTTGCTGCTGATCTGGGGTCTTGTGAGGAGTAGTGCAGCTCAGTGTGGGAGAGGCGAGTTTTTGACCCGGGAGCATGAACCAAATACCCCTCCCCCAGCCTGCCCCACGACCTCCTGTCCTATCTCCAGGTCAGTGCGGGAATCCCACCCTCAGGAAGGGGATGATGTTGTCCTTGGCGATGGCCTGCAGGAGGCGGGGGGCCCCCGTGAGGCTCTGCAGTCCCGCGCCACAGGTGGAGAAGAAGGAGCCGACGACGATGACCCATGGCGATGGCCAGGACAGCGTTCCTACCACCAGATTCTTGCTCACCACATCCCCGAACCTGCGGACAGGACACACAGCTCAAACTGGAAATGGGCCCATCAGGCAACAAAACCTATCCAAAGCTGCACTGGCAAGCGGTTGCAGATGAGACCACCAATGACCAGAAGATTACACAGAAACATCCATGTATTTCAATCTGCACATACTACAATATAATGTGCTTTTAGCACTGTGCGATGGCAGCACTACATTGTTCAGCTACAAGTTTTTCTTCCGCCCACAGTATGGGCAGCACAGCATACACTGTAATTAAACCCAGGATATGAAAAACCATGCTCAGCAGTATGAAACTTATTTTAACCAGATGTCTAAAAACTGTGGTATAAATGTATCTGATAACGTCTTTCTCAGTTCCTCTTCACACCCAAATGTGGGTAGGATATAATGCTGCTGCTCTTTAATGTGCAAAGGAAATGTTTTTGCACAGTTAAGCCTGGGACTTTACTGCTTATATTTCGTAAGTAGAAAAAAGAAGGTTTGTTCATCTGTGCAGATGCGGCCAAATCTGGAGAGCAAAACGGTCCCATGAGCAGGGGCCACTGTCTGTGGTCAGAGCTCGACTTTGACTGTGATGAGAGAGAGAGGAGACCAAGTCATGTTATTACATGCCAGAAGAAATTAAAGCAGCAGCCTGTGGTGCCTGATCCAATGGCTGTGAATGTCTGTGTTTTTTTACAGCAACTTACTTGTCTCTTAAAACAGCTCCTTCAATACATGCCCCAAACAGCACCACTGAGCTGAGGTCTGGATTGCAGCATCAAGGAATAACACTATCTCCTTCTGTTGTGCTCAACACCCATTGCATTCCATCCCGTTTATCAGCCGTACTTGATGTATCTGGCCCAAGCTGTACACTCCCAACCTCCCACATGCCCTGCATGTGGCTCAAGATCTGCCCAGCCAAACTCTTTGAAAGAGACAAACTATTATTCAACCTCGACAAACTACAGCCTGTTATTGATTCAGTTTCAGCCTGGGTTGCCTGGTGTATCCTTCTGTCTGCAAGTGTTTTCTCCATGTTTACCCTAGCTAGATTAATAACTGTCTAATGTGCCTTTGGAAGTGTCCTGTGAAGGACTGGTGGCCCATCCAGGGTGCCATTGTGTCTGCAGGATAGGTTCTGGGTTACTGAAACCGTTGCAAAGATAAAGCACCTCTCTGATAATGGATGGAAGGATAGACATACTGTACTGCGGCCCAAGTGTGAGTCCATTCAATTTCTGACATGTAATAAGTTACTGTAGGCATATGTGTATTTGCATTTCCTTGTCTGGTTCTTTTTGGAGCTGGAGTTCCAATACATCTTTATCAATTGTATCTTCCACACCAGTCAGAGGTCAGCAGTGACTAAGCAGAAAGGTGTTCGAGATTTTAATAACAAAAAAAGCAAAAAGTCACAATCATATGCATTCATGGCTCATGACATATTTATAAATTTGCCACCTCTTGATGTTCCTTGATTATTCACTATGATTTCTAATTCATACGAGCAGCAATAAAAATGCTGCAGCAGATCTAGCCAGACCTCAGAAGCTAAGTGAAACTTGCCCGTACTGGTCATCAGTACTGGGAAGTGAGACCTCTAAGGCTGCTGATCCAAGTGGTGCAGGTGAAACAGTAGACTGAGAGGAGGGTTGTTAATCCTGGTGATTTGGCTAGATTCCTTTCACAGTTTGCACAATGTGGCTCTTCTAACGTTCTCCCTTAATTCAGTTCCCGGCTTCACTGTTGTGAAGGTGGAATGCCATTAAAAAGGATACAAACTAGAGATGTTGTAGTGATGGCCAAAATTGTTCCCACAGGGATAGACTTCTGTGCGTCTTTCAGATCTCCAGATCTGTTTGAACCAGCCATGATACCTACAGAACAGCAAAGAACCAAAGAGATTTAAGGAAATGCACAACATCCCAATAACAAGTAGTTCAGGTGGGTAGCTGCGTCAGCATGCGTAAGCTACACCTAGAATGTACATGGCTGCAGCAAAGGTCACACCCGAAGAAGACTCCACAGCTCAAACATTGTGTTTTCTTTCTTCTCTTTTCAGCATGTAATAAACCTTTACTTGTTCCTTTGCATCCTAATAACAAGCTTCCCTTCCTCCTAGATTTTCAATACTGTGCTTTCAAACAACATATAACACGTCTCCTACAGTTCCACTTATTTTCAAAATTTCCAAAACATCTCAATCATTACACTGTTCCACCAAGATTGCAGCCTAGAACAGGTACTGGCGAGGGTGATATTGACTGAAATGATCCACACAATCCAATCCTTCATCAGGATTTCTATTTATAAGTGTAGGCAACCACGCCTGTTCCATTCTAACCATATCCTTGATCTAGTAAACCATAAATAATTATTTAATTAATCAATAATTCCTGCGGACGCTTCTTGCAAGTCAACAGCAGGCTTTTGTTTAAGTGAGGATCAGAGCCGTTTTAGATCAATGTCACCTATTAAGTAATTAAGGATCAACCAGTTGTAGCATAATCATGTGGAGGTGCCGACAGAGCACAGGATTTTCACCAGGTCCTGTTCTAAGGTGTGAACAATGTTGTGTTCATTCAGGCTAACAACAAAGACAGTAATTGAATTGTATTTAATCAAATGACACAGAGGAACAAACTAGGAAAACTAGAAAAGTAGGAAAATGCGAGGCATCTGGCCAAGGTGCAGCTGCCCAACATGCATATCCTGAAATGACGACAGAAGTATTATCAGTAATTTGTTACATCTGCTACATCCTACTCAGTCTTGTCAGTGCAGACAAGCACAAGCAAGCCAACTGTCCCTAGTTCTGTGCAAACAAATGAAAGATAATTTCCTACGGGAATTCTGAGAGATCAAGAAAGGACTTGATGGCACCAGCATATTGTACATTGACACAATGGAGATAATGACGCAGGCCAGGAAGAGGAAATCGGAGTTGCTGACATAACTCGGAATAGGAAGGGCTTACCGGTGACTGATGGGAAGAAGATTCCGACGAGCACAGTGAAGGAGGTGGCGATGTCTGCCGATACATACAGGTAGAAATTCTCCATCGAGCCATGAACGTCCAGCGAGGGCAGGCTGGCTTTCTCCACAATGTCATTCTTGTCCATGTAGGAGCTCCACATGTTCTCTGCAGACACGACATTTCCACACAATCCCACCAACCAGGAGGGCAGGATGGGAGGTGGGGAGGCAGGGAAGAATGTCATTACTATGCTTGGAACAGGCCAAAAACATTACGACCCACAGTTAGCTTTAATCCTGGCCCAGACAGTTCTTTTGGCTGTGCTGGAAGGCTGGGAGATTATTTGAAATCCTGAATGACACTGACAGCAGAAGTTAAGACCAACAGTGAAACCCAGATACCTGAGGACATGAAGGAGGGAGGACATTAAGTCCTAAAATCAGGAAGCACTTTCTTACACGCGGGTTTGTGGTGTCTAGCGAGAACTACCCAGCCACGTTGTTGAAGATGATTCCCTGAAATTCTTTAAGAAACAGCACCATTCTTGGCCATGAAGCAACCCAGTGAGCAAAACAAGACAAACTGCCTGCTCTCATGCTGCATTCCAAGTGTTTAAGTCACAGCGTTTTTATTATACCTCTGATTATGCCACTGGCCAGCCCAGGGATGCCTTGGATTTCTGTGATGTTGTTATGGACAAAATACTCATCACAATGATGGGTAGTCATGTTCCCAGAGTTGCAGAAGTTCTCCCACAGCTTGCTGGCCACAGTCTCATTGTTCTTCATCACTGTCTTTGCACAGACATCAAACAGGTCTCTGACCAAGGTCCTGTTGCCCAACATGCATATCCTGAAAAGACATCAGAAATCTTCTCAGTCCTGTCACTTCAGACAAGCACCACTGAGCCAACTCTCCTAAGTTCTGAGCAAGCAAATGAAAGAAAAAAAAGGGGTACACTTACGGGAATTCTGGGGGGTCAAAAATGGACTTGATGGCGCCAGCATATATTGACACAATGGAGATGATGACGCAGGCCAGGAAGAGGGAAGCAAACTTGTTGACGTACTTGACCCCTACGAAGACGATGAGAGCCATGAAGCTGAGGAAGATGGTGCCGTACACCCTCATGTTATTGAGCAAAGCGCCGTCGCCGCCGCCATGCCCGTCGGATGGGTGGAATATCGCTGCCTGCGGGACGATGTATTTCTGGACAAAGAGATCCCACAGGGCACTGAAATATTCTGGCAGAGTTTCACTGTATCCTTTCACAACACATCTGTTCTAAATAAACACATATATGTCTCAACATTGTTTTAAACCTATTGAGGAAGACAGCCGAAACATTGTCAGCCAACCACACCACTCAACAGCTGGACAGCGCAACTGCCCTCTATTCAACATAGAAACAAGGCCCCCAGTGCTCCACTAAGACTGTTACCAGGCAAAGAGTACAGGGGCAACAGGCTTATTAAGAAATCACGATCACAATTTTCAATAACTGTTTCCTACTGCTATGTTAACTGCAATGTTAGAACCCTTAACCTTATCTTAAAGTCAGCAGCAGTTTAATATTTGCTTTACCACGCATCAGCCCCAAAATAAAATGCATTCTTCAAGCCCAAAGTGCATTCCTTTCTATGATGGGTTATATCCGTCACATGTGATGGACGAAGGGGGGGCGATCCTTATATGGCACCACTCACCAGCAGGATCTCAATGGCACCTAGAATGTACATGGCTGCAGCAAAGGTGGTCCCCAGATAAAAGCACAGTCCCACAGCGCCACCGAACTCAGGACCCAGGGAGCGTGAGATCATGAAGTAGGAGCCTCCAGCTGTAACAGATTGACATCAGTTCCAAGAAACGCGCTTTGGCAAGGCACATGGACTTCTGGGGTGTCAGATCTACACCAGGTGCAGACGTCAAAGAAGCAATGTGTTCTTTCACTTAAAGAGTTCAGGGAATGGATTTCTAGCACACAGTGTTTTTTGGCTTTAATGTAATACAATGTATTTATTGTCACGCAGTGCCTTTCCTTGAGGCATTCAATCCTACCCATTGTGTTGAATTACAGAACTTCTATGCCCATTTTCAAATGGAATAATTTTTCGTCAAGACTTGAAATTGGGCATCAGTGCTTTGGGCAAGGCATTGCAAACAGGCAGATTGACACAGATCATATGACACTGTCTTATGTGCATTTTAGAAAAATGGTTTGGTATTTTACATTAACACTTCATATCCTGACAGTGTTAAATTTTGGGTGCTACACTGCATTATGCAGCTCCCTTTGGTGTTTGGAGGAACCCTAAATTCCAGATTCTCCCATCTCCCAAACATCCCCCACTCTCTGGATCTAATAACACTCACCTTGCAAAACTACCATTTGGTGAGAATGTACTGTAAATAAAATAAAAGAGCAAACAGAGCAAAATCACCTTACAAAGTGAGCTTTACAGCTGATGTAAGAAACATGTTTTTCTCTAGAAATCACGCCATGGCTCTAAGCATGATAATAGTTATTCTTTTAAGTCCAACTTAGGCAACCATTACCTGGAACCACACCGTTAGTTGCGATGGCACTCATAGATATGGCTGTAAGCATTGTCTGCAGAAACAGGAAAAGGTATTAAATAATTCACATTGTGGACTCTTGGCACTGTCGATGAGAGAGGTTGAAAGACTGCAGCTGTGAAGCACTTGTGAGCAGCAAGATGTTGCAAAAGGAAGTCAAAGGCAACATTCATTCAAATTCATCAGGAGCCGGCAACTGAATCACTGCTGTACACCGCAAGAGAAAAGGTCCAGAAACATTCCGATCACGAAATGCTTTGATTTCAGCAACCAGAAGCAAAAACAGTTAAATGTACAAAAAAAAACAAACAAATGGACTTTAATTGAAAGCAGGCGAAAAGACCTGCTCGGTGCCAGCTCTTAAGGTCAGAAGATTCTAAAAACAAACAAAAAATACAAATACTGTAAGAGGATATTTATAGCTCCACCTTGTGGTTTTAAAGCATAATACCTTTTGGTTTAAAGTGGACAAAATCACGATTATGATCAAATGCATGGCGTACCACACACTTAATGTTGATTTATATACAGTATTATTTAACCAAAATTGTGTTTTTAACTGTACCATACATAATAAGAGATAATTTATAAACCTTGTCTGAAGAATTTGGATCAAGCATTCTAGTGAATTCAAAAGCAATTAAGAACATCTATTTTTAAGGGACGAAGGCAACCGATATTAGGTTTTTATTGATATAGTAGTTTTTGGGTGCTTCCAAGATCTTGTATAGATGTACAAATGAACTCTGAAGCTTAGATGAATGAGCAGTGTTTTTTGTGCACTGAGTTGGTCTGTGCTTACACAGGAGCAGCACATCAAAACGATCAGGAAGGACTGAACGACTCCCGCCGTGCCCACGATCCAGGTGAGGCGCAGGAAGAGTATGACCCCAAAGATGTTCTGCAGACAGGGCAGGTACACGCCCATCAGGCTGCCCATTCTGGGGGACTGCGGGCACAAGAGGGGAAACAACGACACTCAGGAAGTGGATTAATAACAAAACAGAAGACGTCTTTACACAAAGGGTGGTGGGGATGTGGAACAAGCTACCCAGCTAAGTTGTAGAAGCTGATTCCCTGGGGTTTTTGCAAGACGAAACCCCCACAAATGAATCGGAAGGTCTGAGCGACTGCCTTTTGATGCAGAATTTCTGTTTTTAGAATCAACAGAATTGGAAGTCATGGCAGATGACAAAGCCTGCCTGCGTGAAACTCCTCTTCTTTCACCTCCATGTGGCTGATCACCCCTCCTTCCTTCCTGTCTGAATCAACAGGAAGACATCTATTTCATGAAGACTGCCAGAGGCACTGATCAAAACACTGTGACAGTCCTTGTTTAAATAATAAGTTGCAAAAGCTCAACCAATAACAAATAATCGACAAATAAAGAATAATTAGTTTTCATGGAGCCTTTTCTGTTTTTCCATTAATTGAGCTTGACTGGAGGTGATCACCAGAGGTTCTGCCCAAAGTGTTTCAACCTTTTTTAATTTTCTTACACTTTCGTCATCAGGGCTCTCAGTACTGAGTCTTTCTACCACTGTGAATATTTCATAATGCAAGCCTTTTGTGGCAAGGGTCACACCCAGAATAGTAATTTACTTTTTGGGTTTAAGTTAAACAACATATTTAAAGAACACTACTGTTCTATACCCTGCTTATACACTGTCTTTCTACACGGAAAGGCTTGGACAGATAGACTGGAAATAGCTTATCGATCAAAGGTATTGATTAGGACTTTGAAGGTCAGTCCTGTGCTTGTTTGCGGCGAAGCTACACAGTGGAAGCTGCAGACCCACAGCCTGGGCTCAATCAGTGTACAGCAACTGCCTCTGGGCCACTGACAGGGCGAGGGAGAGAGACTGGTTATCTAAAGGCCTGCTGATGTCATCGGCAGGCCCTTCAGGCTGGGCCCTGTGAACGTGCCCCTCCTCCCACCCCCCCGCTGTGCATTGGCTTCACGCTTGGGACTGTAGGGTGGCCCTGGTGCCTCTCGGCTCGCAGAGTCTCGGCATAAGAATCACAGCAGTAGAGCACAACGCACACGTCAGAGGATTACTTTTGGGTTTCAGTTATACTTTTTTTATATATACTTTCCCTGCAGGTTGAAAAGATGAAGCTCTGCGTGTGACCACGATTTGCGTGGCGAGATATTCTTCCAAAAATGAAAATTGGTCAATTTTTTTTCACCAATGGTTTGTTACTGGGAAGAACACACACTCTGCTGGATCTTCCTGATTAACCTAAGCATTCTTCTTGATTAACTTGAGCGGGGAACCCAGTATCCGAGCCCTGTGCTGTGTAATGGAAAATGTGAGTGAGTGCTTACTTCCAAAGTCATGTAACTTCCCCACTGACACTCACACAGAGGCGTTGCTTTTGTGAGTTTTGCACTCTAAATATAAATATTGTACATGAATAGATGTTCAAATAAGATCAGAGATATCTGATCTCATAGCCAAAACAAACACACAGTAAGAACAGCAAGTTCAGGAATGAAGCTCTGTGCATCGCGTTTACGGACAGTTACAGTGGAGCTCATCTGTCAGCTCTGCTGTTCTGTGCAAAATGTCACAGCCTGATCTTGGATCTTTGGATCAACAAGGATGGCGGATCGGAATCGTGGATACGAACCTTCGGCACCTTCTTCCTGGACACCTCGGCACTCTCGGCCTCCTCGTGCTCCTTGGCCCCCTGGGTGATGTTGGTGTAGTTGACCAGCCGGCTGAGGAGGGAGGACACCTTCGGCCGAATGTCCAGCTCCTCCTGGTGTAGGAGAGGAAAGGCAAAAAAAACAACAACCAACGTGCCTGTTAAACAAGAACGAGTGCTGCCTGTTCAGCCTCCACATGAGCAGTACTGTATATGCAGCGTGTGCGATCAATCGCATATCAAACTTTTTATGAAAACAACATTTTCAGTATATGTGCTGCATATTCATGTATAAATCCTTTACATTCCTAAACCCTCACTAATGACTCACTGCATGGCTATTTAATTAATCAGATATTCAGAACCATATTCAGTAGTGGTTACTTTAACAACTGTGTTTATAAAGCGTGTACAAACTATGATTTATACCCAATAAATTTATTTCTGAAAAATTTGCTATACAAGCATAGGAACACTTAAGGATCAGGGCTCTCAGATCAGAAAAGCATGGCAAAATTCTCACTGGATCGAGTACAATGAGGTGCTTTGTACAATTTACAAAGCTGGTACACTACATGCCACTATACAGAACAGTACAAATCAAATCAAGGATCAATAGAAAAGTACCTCAAATAAGGCCAGGTTCTTGTCATAGAAGTCATTTCTCTTCGCTGAGTCTGTCACACTCAGGAAAGGACTATCTTCTTTAAGGTTTCCATGGCCTCAGAAGAAAAAAAGATACCAGGTGGAGTGAGAAGAGAAAAATAAATCCATTTACTGATGGAACCAAGCAGACTGAACAACTCAGGCCACTTAACATATAAAGACTTGTAATCAGTGAATAACACAGTAGTTGAGGTTTGTTTGTGCATACTAAGAACACAACAACATCATTATGTCTTTTGCTAAACACGAACAAAAAGGGATAGAAAAGAGTATTTTTCCAAAATACAGATGACTAAACAAACCGCACAGAAGATAAAATGGCATTGTTCTTGAGAACACAGTCAGACGATATTCACCCAGTTAAATACAGTCTCAAGTGAAGTCTAAGTAGAATATACAAAAGAAAAGGGACCAATGCACCAATTAAGATCACTGTGATTATTTCCAGGGTATTAAATCGATTTTCCTGTACAGGAAGGAGTATTCTTAACGCTATGAGATTAGTCTCAGACAATCTCTCTAAACCAGCTTGAGCACATGTTCACTGTATGACTAACCAGCGCCTCCAACCCACAGCTATTATGATAAAACATCTTGGCAAAATGTGGCAGCTGCTCAGTGGATTAAAGTTCTGTAAGAATCACAGCGCACATAGCGAAGATTTTAAATCAGCAAATTTGAGCACTGACGGGTGAAACTGTTCATTTACAGCAGAGGGGTGATTTCATGCATCAATATCCTCTGGACCTCAGTTTAGGCTGATGTCTGCTGCAAAAATGAAACAAATTCATATCTGGAGAGAGATTGTTTTATCCCTGTTTACACTCGTTAGTGGTTACAGACACAGTACATTTCCTGTGTGTTAATGTAGTCTCTCTGCCACATATTGTCTGATTCATCTCTACACCCTTACATCATTCAAAGTCATCAGCACCGATCATTACAGCCCTTCAAGTTCTGATGTGCCATATGAGCTCATTTAATATCTTATTATTTCTACCACTGCTTTCCAAATGATACCATGCCAAGACCTTTTCAATCTAGATTAGACAACCTCATTAGCACGCTTTTTTAATTATGTTACTGTAATAGAACAATTATTTCTTTTCAACACACACATTTTCTCGTGTGTCACTGACCCGTTGAAGATTTCAGATTTCTCCCTAGATGGAATAAACACTACATAATGCTCGACATATATTAAATAATAAAAGGTATAAATGATATGACCAAGAAAAGTTTATGCACTGTTTTCCACTTCCTCTACCCTAAACAAATGGAGTAAACCTTTGTGAGTGTAAGTCTTTCTCAAATAAACATGCATACTGCTACATAGTAACCTCTGAGTTCCCTTGCTTTGTGTAGCATAACTTCTTTAGTACAAACAACAGGGACAAAATCAGTACAGACCTGGGCTCTGCAAATTGTAGGTACTTGCTCTGGCAAACAGCTGAGATCTGCCCTTGTCACAAGCTGGGATGTTAAGTGTAACTGTGCAAATTTGCTAGAGCCCAAAAACAAAGTCTCACAGCTGAAGTGTGGCATGAGCAAATGGCTTCTGACAGCACTTCTGTGAGGAACAGCTTCCTGCACTTCATGACGATAATACGGCTCTGATCAATATTGTGTGGCACTGTACCGTGCTTTTGCAACGTTGCAAACCACCGATTACCACTTTTAACCTGCCATGTTTTAGAATTCCTTCCTTCCCTTGATGAGATCTAAACCAAATGCTTGTGTTTGCTGCAATCTAAAGAAGATTGAACACAGTCTATATGGCTGACAGTCTGCTAGCTTCTCAGAAACAGAACTATAGCACAATTACTTTATTTTTGCTAAGCTTATCTAAACTGGGGCTTTCAAGCAGTTGGGACAGCTTTTGGGACCTGAGCATCCCTATGTCATATTCGCAGCAATAGGACACTCTAGGCTTTGTCAAAACAAAGCTCAGTACTCCTTAAGTTTGAAGAATGCATTAAAGAATATCTGACTTTCATATTTTCAAAACTCATAGGTAAGAAATGGTTTGCCCTCAGTTACTTTGCCCTTCTTTAAAGAAGAAAATTTAATAATCTTATTTTAAAAATCAAGTAACTAAAATTAAAATAAATGACAAAAAAATAAATAAATAAATTACAATGAAATCAGCACAAAATGATTAAATATTCAGATGACGAATTAATGGTGCTTATCTCAGTATTTTTTACATACTTTATCCAAACTCTCAGTCAAAAAACACTAAACGTCTTTCCTAGAAGAGGTTAAGAACTTTGGTTTCCAATGAAATTTTAACTTAACATACACATTGTCTGACTAGCATCAGACTGCGGAAATGTTAGAAAGTTTTGTAATCATGATTTTGATGTATAACTGCAAACATAAATTTAATTCTCCAATCCTCTCCAAAGCTGCACCTGCAATGAAATACGAATCAGCAACGCAAAAAGTCCTCTTTACATCTAGTATTAAATGTATCTGCATATGTTCAGATTTTGGTAAAACACATTATAATATTTATAAATATACTTCTAATGTTTTCAAAGAAATTCTTAGCCAAAATCACCACAGATGTAACAGACTTTATATGCTAAAGGAACATAAATCATATTAAGACAAATATACCAAACTTTCAATATATATACAAATATATTATTTCTGCAAATTATTTCTAAAAGATTGAAGAAAGTCTCATATGCTTATCAGCTTTGAAATCTACCTCAGCTAAGGATGCTCTGCTACAAGTGACACTCGTCTGATGATGCCTCTGCAATTTCCAATGGTATCTTAAAAATTTCTTACGGTCTTAAAAACATATATCTAAAAAAATGCCTCTTTTAGGCCAGCAGACAATTCTGGCAACACACGAGAACATCCATGTGATCTGATCTTTCACCTGACCGAAGACTCCTCGTGTCGGACTTTCTATGCCCAGTCTTTAAAATGTTTTGCAATTTATAGTAATTAAAAATGAATTAACCTCATCCCAAATCGAAATAACCCCTTATTTTTGCTTATCACTGATTACCACAGGACCTTGTCTGCAGGGCAAATTTAACAATAGTAAGAAACGAGCCCTTGTCCGGTTCTGGAACACCACAGTCAGTGACCACCTTCCTAGTCAGCACCACAGCCACCTGTCCCACTATATCCATCACCCTGCAATGTGATGCTGGTTCAGAGAGACCAAGGAGAAGTCATGGCTGCTGCTCACCTGAGTTCAGCGCTGCCTTTCCATTGATACTGCTCTCCTGTACCATCCTTCCTCGCCTGCCTGCTGACCAGCTGTGCTCAGTACATAGTCGGGCAGAGTTCTGGACGCCCTGCTGCAGTGGGAAAGCTCTCTAGTGTCCGACTACAGAGGCAGTGTGCACTCACCCAGCTGCCCGCAGCTCAGCTCCTATGGAATTAAGCTGCTGTAGAGACCAATCGGGATTCTCTTGGGAGGACAGAGGGTGTCAGAGGATTCCTATACTGCAGCTGGGACCAAGCTGTGCACTCCTAGCACAGCAAAGCAGGCTGCTTGGTGTGTAGCAGACTGTACTAGGGCGTTCCTTTAATCTACAGGAATATCAAAATGAAAGACGGTGACAAGCGTCGTCAACTGTTAGAGAAAAATAAGCTAAATCAATCGGCATAAAAATAAGCTAAATACATAAAAACACCAAGTTTGTTGCCTACATCTGTATTTTTTGCTATTACGAAGTAATAAAGGGAGTTTCAGTGATGTATACCTTGAAACATCTCATTTTCCTTTTTTTGAGCATGCCTTGGACAAGGTAAAAAGTTACACAGAAGCTAGACTTCAGATGCACCATGGCACGAGACTGCTATGACTTATACATATGATTAACCGCATTAGTATTTGTAAATATCTGCACAGAAAATGGATTTTAGGCTGTCTCCTAGTTACCCTACCCATGAATTCTCTCATTCTATTTTACAAAGTTTATTTACTGACGTGTCCTACATTGGTACAAACTGACAGACAAGTGGTTCATCCATCTCAAAGGTGAGCAAAATCAAACACTTCACTCTGCGTGTTTAGTGAGTTTTAAGAAAGCACTGCTCTCCACTCACCATGCTCTTTATTTTGGCAAAAATAATAAAAGACCCTGAATGTCTTTTTAAGTTTCCAACTGTTATATTGGTTAGACAATGCTGTGATAATGGCACTGTACAACCATTGTGAAAAACAACCACAACATAAATAATTGTCAGATGCTGCCCCCTGTTGTGATTATTAAGTACTGCATCCTCAAAAGCTACAGCAGTAGGTGAGGCTTGTTGGCGTTCCTCATCTAAACAGAAAGCAGACACCCAAAGTAAGGGTCACATGATGGTCCTGCTTGTCCAGAAATAAATCATTTATCATTAGATGGGGCGGTTGCTAATACTGTTTATTTCTGTTGGTATACATTATCTTATTGTCCTAAAACATAATGTGTTCAGTGAGTCAGTCAATGTGACGTTCTGCCACTCCTGGAATTTGGAGGCTTAATTATAAAGTATAAAGGAATCGGTGGTGGTGGGGGCTGAATCTTATGGGTCAATTCATTAAAATATCTAGACTGTTTTGTTCCCCAGCTAAGGCTTTAAAAGCTGCATGGTGCTTGTGTTCACTGGAGAAGTGGCTCAGCACAGGTCACATACATTAAGACACAGGAGTGTCGGCTGTGTCCAGGTCCTTCAAGCCTCTAATTAAACAGCAGATTGCGAGGTTATTAAAACCAGACTCCTGGATTCCCACTGCTCGGGCCTTCATCAGCCGAGAGGAAAGGGGTTTAATGACAAGCCCGAACAAGCCAGCGCTGCCTCCTCAGGAATGCCTTTCACTGCGCAGATCAAAGAACGTCAGCACAATTTTCCACCCAAATCTGTCTTATCACACATTACACAGTCAAATTACTTGGCAGACGGTATGAGACGCTATGTTTAGCGCTTAATGCCACATTATTTCAAACAATTAAGCACGGAGAATTGCAGCACATTAACACTGCAACACAAAAACACTTACAGGCTTGATCAGTGACGCAGAACAACGCTCCAATCAGAAATA